GGGGCCTGGTTCCAATACTGCTTAGCAGGCTACCAGCTGCCCCCCAGCCAGCAGGGAATGACAGCTCTGCTTCCCCCTTGGAATTCAAAAGGCTGAGCTCCCACTGCACCAGCCTGTTCCCTTGTGATCTCTGTGACTGGCTCAGCCAAGCGAGATGGCCACTCCCAGCTCCAGGGCGCAAGAGAAGCAAACCCCGACCTGGCCTGACAGAGGCAGAGTTTGCAAAGCGCCTGGCCAGGCGGCTCGGGGCAACAAGCGCAGAGGGTCACAACGTGGCTGCTGAGGCACTGGGCCCTACATAGCTGCTGGGGAACAGAAAGGGTTTCCCATGCCATAACCTTGCACCCTGGCCTGCACCCCCCAGGGAATTCAAAGCCACCCAGGAAAGCAGCTGCAGGTGCTAAGCTCCCACAAAATCCGGATTCCCGTGGGCCGGCCCAAGGAGAAAACCCCGCTCACCCCCACTGAAACCAGCCACTCCCTCACCCCCCCCTCGGGCGTCTGTGGGGAAAAAAAACTGCAGAGCACGCCCCACAGCCATGAGAGCCTCAGGAGTGTAAGTTAATTCGTTCAGATACCATGTAAATGTGAGTTTCACAGTAAGTTGACTGACCTTGTGTTGTACTACTGCCTAGTAACATAGTCACCCATTCTAATGAGTTAATAAGTAAAGGCCTCATCTACACTGGAGCACTATTTCGGGATACTGGAGTATCCCAAAATACCTATCCCATGTCTTAATTGAAAACCTGTTATACTGGGTGTCCGAGACAGAACATCAGAAATGGCTGCCCGTCGCAGGGAGCCATAGCCTGTAATACCTCTGAGGCTGGTATAGGGGGCTCTGTCTGTGAAGTGGAGTGTTTTCCATATAAGGGCATGTAAATTAATAATCTTCCCCTGCTCGCTCCACCCATTGCAGTAACAGATCAGCCAGTGGGCTGACTGGTGCTCAGGCCTGCTACTCCACCCACTGCAGCAAAAACCAACCTATGGGGTGATAAGTTCACAGGCAATAAAACAGGCAGGCAGCCCCTCTCTCACTGGGGATTCGCATTGAGTGAACGCCTGGCCTGATCACCCAGACGCCTTGCACCCCCCGCTCTTGAGTCTTACTGAGCGTACTCCGAGTTGGTCGACCCGAGTGGAGACAGTTTATGAGCGTGTGACCGGTACTTGTGTTCCTGCTGTCTCCAGAACTGGTATAACACCCCTTCCCCCCCACCATCATCCCTATCCTAATTGATTTTTTAGTTGTCCTTATTGCTTGTCAAGTGACAGTGGCTAAAAAGTTACTAAGTTAGTTTTTAAATAGTTGTGGTTTAGGTTTTTTACTGTTTCCTTGTATAAAGTTGTGTAAATAATCAGCCCTATGGACAATACCAGTGTTAATTCAACTGTTCCTAACCCCTGGGCAGTTATTGGGAATTATTGTGATTTAGAAAAGCCTCAGGGAATTGTTTTGTGTTGTCTGGCAATCTGTTTAATTTTTGTTCTGATGATTGTCTGGCGCCATCAAAATAAAATCAGTTTGTGCTTTTTGAAACCCCCAGTTGTGGTCTCATCCTTTCCGGCATCCCTTCGAACCTCGTGTATTACGGGGACTGACACTGGGCACTGAAACTGACTTGATATGGCTCTAGACTACGATGATTCTAAGGTTCTATGGGGTGTTGGGGCCTGGCACAAGGCCCGGAATGAGGACAAAGGCAGCTGCAGGCATGGCACCGAGTGAAGAACAGCCGTTCTGCTGCGGGGCCGCTACCCCAGCAGCCAGGAAGGGGGTGTGGCCACTTCCCCATTCCTGAGACAGTTCAGCTAGTTAGTCGGAGGCAGCAGCTGGTCCTAGCCGGTCTGTCCCAGCCAGTCCCTGCGGCTGGTAATGCCTTCCAAAGCCAGAATGGGCCATGGGCAGACGGGACTCGGAACGATTCCCTGCAGGGGGCTTCTGACAGGAGCCGTGGCTGGGAGACTGCTCAATCCGTCACCGCTCGGCACAGATGCTCCCTTTGGACACCGCGGCCCACAGGCTGCTCACAGCCCTGCAGCCTCTTCTGGGGAGGGGCCGACCCTTCCCTGTCTCCCTCTACCAGCCACCAGCGCTCTCACTGGGCATGCTCAGAAATTGCCATGTGCCCCCGTCCTGGGCAGAGAACCAGAGAGGGCTGGACTCTGTTGCCCCATTTTGTCCTTGTGTGAATGGGGCTGGCTGGGAGTATGACTGGCATTGCTCCTTCCAGCAGGGAGGTCTCAAATAAAAACAAATCGATAATGTGCCAGTGACGTTCCCTTCTCTGTCCGATTCGAGGGCCGGGCCGGTGTAGCCGATTGCCTGGTTTCTGGTGGATTGCCTGTTGAACCTGCCACTTGTCACTTTGGGCTTGGCTGAGCGAGATCTTGTCCAGGCGAAGGCTGACGTTATGGTGACCTTAAAGTGTTAGCAGAGGGATCTAGATGAATATACAGGCTGAACCTCTCTGGTCCAGAAACCTCTGTGGTCCGGAAAGACCTAGGCAACCCCGGGAGCAGCTGCTGCCTTGTACACAGGGGAGCTACCCTGCTTTGAACCATTTTAGATGGGCTGGGGTGGTTTGGGATGAGGGACCTCATCCTTCGTGGACAGGCTGGAGCAGCCTCCAGGGCCACAGATAGGGGCTGCTTCATGCCAGCGGGAGCTGCCCCTTTCTGCCGCATGTCAGGGATGGTGATTTCTCCAGGGCTGGAGCAGCCGCCTGCCTGCACCCACTGTGCAGAGCTGAAGCAAAGGAGAAGGAAAACAAACAATCTGTTTGTCTCTGTCTGTGGGATCGGAGCAAATCCGGTTGTATCTTAGGGCTTTGCTGTATACAGGAGATTGAGAAATGTGTCTGGGATGGAAGCTGGAGGCATGAAGGTAAGTGTAGAGGTCGGTAGGGTTCTGGCATAGATGGGTTTGTGGTATAGAGTGGTGGAAATTTGCCCATTATTTAATTGTACTGTAGTGTAAGTAATGGACAAATCTCCACCACCCTATAGCAAAAAAAACAGATTGACGGAGCCAAATAAGTACCCAGACATGAACTCCTTCAAATAGACCCAAAAGAGAAAACAACAGAATTCCACTTGTCATCACCTATGGTCCACAACTTAACCCCCCTCTTCCCCACCCAACACATTATCTGCAGTCTATAACCTATGTTGGAAAATGATCCCTCACTCTCAGAGTCCTTGGGGGGAAAAGCCAATTCTCGCTTGCAGACAAACCTCCCAAATTGAAACAAATTCTCTCTGGTAACCATGCTACACAGCTACATCATCAACATAGAGACATAGAGCTAGAAGAGACCTCAGAAGGTCATCAAGTCCAGCTCCCTGCCCAAGGCAGGACCAATCCAAGCTAAATCAACCCAGCCAGGGATTTCTGAAGTTGAAACTTAAAAACCTCTCAGGACGGAGATTCACCACCTTCCTAAGTAAACCATTCCAGTACTTCACCACCCTCCTAGTGAAAAAGTTTTTCCTAATATCCCACCTGGACCTCTCCCACCGCAAACTGAGATCATTATTCCTTGTTCTGCCATCTGTCACTACTAAGAACAGCCTCTCTCCATCCTCTTTGGAACCCCCCTTCAGGAAGTTGAAGGCTGCTATCAAATCCCCCCTCACTCTTCTCTTCTGCAGACTAAACAGACCCAAATCCCTCAGTCTCTCCTCTTAGGTCATGCGCTCCAGCTCCCTAATCATTTTGGTTGCCCTCTGCTGGACCCTCTCCAATGCGTCCACATCCCTTCTGTAGTGGGGAGGCCAGGACACAATACTCCAGATGTGGCCTCACCAGAGCCGTATAAAGGGGAATAATCACTTCTCCAGATCTGCTGGCAATGCTCCTCCTAATGCAACCTAATATGTCATTAGCCTTCTTGGATACAAGGGCACCCTGTTGACTCATATCCAGCTTCTCACCCACTATAATCCCCAGGTCCTTTTGTGAAGAACTACTACTTAGCCAATTGGTCCCCAGCCTGTAACAATGCTTGGGAGTCTTCCATCCCAAGTGCAGGACTCTACATTTGTCCTTGTTGAATCTTATCAGATTTTTTGTGGCCCAATCCTCTAATCTGCCTAGTTCTCTCTGGACTCTATTCCTGTCGTCCAGCATATCTACCTCTCCACCTATATTTGTGTCATCTGCAAACTTGCTGAGGGTGCTATCCATTCCCCCATCCAGGTCATTAATAAAGATATTGAACAAAACCAGTCCTAGAACCGATCCTTGGGGCACTCCACTAGAAACTGACCACCAACCTGACATCGAGCCTTTGATCAGTACCCATTTGGCTTTTGCAGATCCAGACTAACACGACTACCCCCCTGATACTTGATCTTGCAGGAGGAATAATGGTAGTACAAATTAGGAGGTTTAATTCGAACTACCTAGTCTGTGCCGCGTGTAGCTGCTGGCAGGTAGTTCGAACTACGGGGCATTTAAAAATGGCGGAGCCCGGGAACACTTTGAAGTGCTACCAGACTACCTGTTGAATTGTATTCACAGTTACTGAACATCAATATTACCGTAGAAGAGCAAAGCCTCGGGCTCATTGCACAAGGTGCTATAGACACTCACAGCAAGTGGCTGGGTAAACTATCCAAACACATGTAAGGGGACAGATTCTGAAAGGCATTTAGGCACCTTGAGTGGAGCACAGACGCCCAATGGGATTTTCAAAAGCAGTTACGGGCATCTGTAGGCACCAAAGGCCTGATTTTCAGTGGAGCTTTGGAACCCAAAGCCAACGTGACTTTTCATAATAAGAATCAGGCTCCTAGATCACTTAGCCACTTTGGGAAATGTTCCCTAAAGGACAACACACACTTATCAAGTCATCCACAATGGTATTTACACTCTTGCTTTCCTACTAAATTCATTAGGCTTTCGGGAATCTGGGAAGAAGAGGTGAATTCTGAGAGGTTCTGTCCTAAAAAATCACCTGCAGACAGAAAAAAGGCTGAGAGTCACTGACTCAGAAGAGATGCATGTGATGCACAATTTATTTAGTTGCAGGTCCATGAGGGCTGGAAGAGTCACCTTCTTCTGCTAGATGCCATCATTCATTCTTCTTTTCTTACCTATGGACTGCTGCCTTCTGGGCCTTGAATAAGGACCTTGTATGTGGTGGGGCAGTATGTTTTGAAGAGATTTTCCACTAAGGTGTTACTTCCTGCAACCACACGCTTGTGTTGCCGGTTCATGTAGTTCCACAGATGCAGAGAATAGGAGTTGTTGAAGTCGACGCTTTTCTCCCAGACCTGGAAGTACCGATTCCATTGTACGTAGGGGATGGGGTAGTAACGCTGAGGATGTAAGTAGGAAATGTTCAGACAGTTTATATCCTCCACTTTATGGAAATTGGTTACGGGGCACAACGCCTTGAGCCTCCTTGTCAGTAAGCCGGGCCCTTGGTGGCCCCAAATGTCTCCTCTGTAGTTTTGAACAAAATCCTTCATACAATCCCATATGAACTTGTGATGGCGAGAAAAGCCAAAAATCGCATTGCCGGCTAACCGGAAATCCTCGGCTGTCAGGAAGTCTTCTAGTGAAATAGGCCTGATGGAGATGACATCGGTGTCCATGTAGATCCCACCGTTTTTCCAGATGAGTGCAAGCCTGATACCGTCAGCGCTGACATGCAGCCAGTACCTCTCCTGGGCTGGATTTACCTGCAGAGTAGGAAAAGGACCACAGTGATGCAATTGATCTCAACACCTGTTTCTGTTAGCTATGTCCTGTATGAAACTCTCAGCAGTGTCTGTCCTAACTGTAATCCCTTCCCCAATTAATGGATATTGTTCTTGTTTGGGTGTGACACAGTGCTGGAAAAAGGCAAGAACAGATGTAGCTTTCGTTCGGTGTTATTGTATGAGTGTGTCCAAGGCACAATTGGTTGGAAACATCGAACCAATATAATAACGTAAGAGCGACCTTACTGGGTAACACTCGGTATCTAGCCCAGTATCCTGTCTTCAGAGAGTGACTAATGCCAGGTGCTCCACACTACCCCACTAGTGAAATGAGGAGTAACGGTAGTTCGAACTAGGAAGCCTAGTTCGAACTACCTAGTTCATGCCCCGTGTAGCCGCGCTGCACGGGGTTCGAACCAGCGGGGTTTTAAAAATGGCGGCTCCCCGCTTATGCAAATGAAACCAGGGAAATTCAAATCCCGGGCTTCATTTGCAAGTGCGGTATGCCTACATTACCCTCCTAGTTCGAACTAGGAGGGTAGTGTAGACATACCTGGAGTGAACAGAACACTGAACCATCAAGTGATCCCTCCCCTGCCACCCATTCCCAGCTTCTGGCCGACAATGTAGGGACACTACTCCTGCCCCTACTGGCCAATAGCCATTGATGAACTTAATTTCCATGATTTTATCTAGTTCTTGTTTGAACCCTGTTATAGTCTTGGCCTTCATAACATCCTCTGGCCAAAAATGCAGGTTAACTGTGCCCTGTGTGAAGAAATACTTTCTTTTTTTGTTTCAACCTGCTGTCTGTTTTCATTTGGTGACCCCCTTCTTCTTGTGTAATAAGGAGTAAATATCACTTCTTTACTGTTACTTAATGTTACTGACCTCAGTCATATCTCCCTTTAGCGGTCTACTCCCCAAGCTCAGAAGTCCCAGTTTCTTCTCATACAGAATCTGTTCCCTACCCCTTATCATTTTTGTTGCACTTTTCTGAAGGTTTTCCAATTCCAGTATATCTATTGTGAGATGAGGCAACCACATGCCGTATTCAGGATGCGGGCACAGCATGCACTTATGAATTTTCTGTCTTTCTATCACTTTCCTAAAGAATCCCAAGATTATGTTTGTTTTTTTAACTACCATTGCACATTGAGCAGACGTTGTCAGAGGACTATCCACAATAACTCCAAGATCTCGTTCTTGAGTGGTAAGAGCTAATTTAGTCCCCATCATTTTACTTTACCTTTTGGAGCTCTTCGCCATTTTCCGGAGCTTAACTATTTTGAGCAATGTTGTATTATCTGCAGAGTTTGCCACCTCACTGTTGGCCCTGATTTTCCAGTTCATTTATGACTTGTTTGAATAGGATGGGTCCCAGAACAGACTTTTGGGGGACACCAATATTTATCTCTCTCTATTCTGAAAAGTGACCACGTATTTCTACCTATTAAATCCTATCTTTTAACCAGTTACCAGTCCTTGAGAAGATCTTCCCTTTTACCCCATGGCCGCTAACTTTGCATAAGAGCTTTTGGTAAGGGACCTTGTCAAAGGCTTTCTGGAAATCTAAGTACACTATATCCACTGGATCACCCTCGTTCACATGATCGTTTGCCCACAGAAAGTATTCTAGTAGATTGGTGAGGCATTTCCCTTTACAAAAACTATGTTGACTCGTCCCCAATTAATTATGTTCGTCTACATGTCTGGAAATATGGTCCTTCACTACAATTTCCATCAGACAGCTGGGTATTGAAGTCAGGTTTTTCGGCCTGTAATTGATGGGACCAGCTCTGGAGCCCTTTCTAAAAATTGGTATCACATTAGCTATCCTTCAGATGTTGAATTAAAGGATAGGTTGCAAAGTACAGTGAGAAGTCCTGTGGCACCTTAAACACTTACAGTTTGACTTGGGCATAGGCTTTTGTGGGCAAAGACTCACTTTGTCAGATGCATCGTCTTTGCCTATTAAAGCTTATGCCCAAATGAATTTGTTTGTCTTTAAGGTGCCACGGGACTCCTCCTTGTTTTTGAAAATGCAGACTAACATGGCCACACCACTGACACTACAGTTAGTAGTTTTGCGACTTCATAGTTCAGTTGCTTCAGAACTCTTAGTTGAATGCCATCTGCTGTTGGTGTCTTATTACAGTTTAACTTAACCGTGAGTTCCAAAAAACCTCCTTTAATGACACCTCAATCTGGAACAGAGCCTCAGATTTCTCACCTAAAACCAGTGACTCGGGTTTGGGAATCTCCCTCACATTGTCAGTCATGAAAACTCATGTAAAGAGCTAATGTACTTTCTCAACAATAGCCTTATGGTCCTTTAGCATCTCGATGATCTACTGGCTCCACTGGTTGGTTAGTTGTCTTCCTGCTTCTACTTTCCGTTTCGCTATTACTTTTAGAGACTTTGGCGAGCTGTTCTTCACATTCTTTTTGTCTTTTATAAATTGTATTTTTACACTTGTCAGAGTTTATGCTCCTTTCCACTGTCTTCACCTGGATTTCACTTCCATTTTTAAGGATTTTTTTCCCTCAGTCACTGCTTCATTTAGTTTGTTGTTCAGCCACAGTGACGCATTTTTTTTTTTTAATTTAAGGTATGCATTTAAGACGAGCCTTTCTACCAGTCACTTTAAGAGTCTCCATGCAGATGTCACTTTTGGCACTGTGCCTTTTCATTTCTGTTTAACTAACCACCTCAGTTTTATGCAGTTCCCCTTCATCATTGCTACCCTTTATTATCATGAATCATTAGCTGTTGCTTCTCCAAACAGCCTCCCATCTCAAAAGACACACTCACTGTCAAACCCAAAGCCCGTGTGAATCCACTGAGAAATTCTCATTGAATTTGAGGGCTTTGGAACGTCCCCTCCTGGCAATCTTTTCAGAGAACGAAAAGCCAGAGAAATGCAGGCCTCGGGTGATGCGGGGGCAGGGAGTGCGGGTGTGCCAACAGCGCACTCAGCTGCCAATTTAATCTCCAGCCTCCGATTTCATTTACAAACAAACTAGAAGATTTACCTGGCATTGCTCAGGGCCTTAACTCAATTCATTTTTGTTGTTCTTCCTTGAAATCATTGCTTGGGGCTGGGGAGGAGGGGTTCAGGATGCAGGCTGCCCCAGGGTCAGAGGACTAAACCAGCCCTCTCTCACTATAGCAGCTTTGGACCAGGTGAGAAGTGTCTCTCCATGGCTGATATAGTTCCAGCGGGCACACCTGGGGGAAGGGCTCATGTCCTATGGCTAGGGCAGGTCCACAGTCATCTGTACTTTCTACTTCCCAGCCAGAGGGAGGAATGCAGCCAACTGTGCACTTCCCCCTCGCTCCCTGACAAAGGGGAACAGCCAGCAATGTCCCCCTATGAATCGGGAGGGAAGGAGCTTCAGCTCCCTGCCTTTCTTAAAGAGCACATGACGGGTGGGAGACTCAGGGCTGGGAAAGTCCCCAGTAGGGAAGAGGAGCTCACCCCCTGGCAGCTCCTTGCATCACCCTGGTAATTCTGTCTCTTTTCTATGTCATTTTCTGAGACACAACTCTATTCCAGGCACATCCTGCCTTCCTGGCACAACCACACCCTGACCTTCCTTTAAGTTATGAGAAGAGAAAGCTTTCTACCAACTTTAGCGATCCTAGCTCTTAATGTTAAAGAGGATGCCAGCCTGTGTTTTCAAACAGGCCAAAACAAGAACTCAAAGGGGAGTGAACTCTCAAAACAACCCTTCTGAGAGGAGCGGGTAAAGACTGGAGCTCGCTGCCCAAATTGAGCTTTCAATTTCTCTCTCACTTCTAAATCTTGTGCCCAGACATTTTCGTGACTATCAGACACCTTCACCAAGCACTAAATCATGTTTTCCCAACTATAAATCCTCACTTTACATCAATGCTAACTAGAATTTTTCAAATGCAACGTTTGTATCGACCTCTGGCTTGTTTGGTAAAGGGGGTTGTTCACCATTTCAAGAAAATAGGATTGTCAGGACTATAATGGGAATGGTCTATTTCCTCTAACTCCCGCCTTCAGGAACTGTGCAATGTCCATAACAATTTCAATCGATATTTTGACTAATGCATGGCTAAGTGTCATGGAAAATGGGGTCCACACCTGGTGCAGCATAAAGACAACAGCTTCAAAACGTTAATAAAAGTGTGCAAACCCTTCATTTCCCGCCACTTCTACTTTCAATCTGGTTTTAAAAAATATTTTCCTCCTTAATATTTTCTCTCACCTTATGATACCATGGGAGCAGAGGTGTGTCCTGGAAAACAGTTTCCATGTCGAGAGGAAGAAGGAAGACATTCTTCATCGCAGACAGAAGAGCAAAGGCTGGGGAAGTGGAAACTGAATCCATCGATGTGTTATTTTTCAGACCTTTCATGAAGAAACGAACAGGTCTGTTGGGGTAGGCCCTGGCAGCAGATTCCACAGAACATGAAACCAACGGAGGAGGCTCAAGACGGTCGGTGGTCTCCACAAAGATGATGCCGCTGCTCTGACTCACGTCATCCTTTTGCATTGGGAATAGCTCAGCACACGGCTGGCATGGGTAGATGCAGCCAGACGGCTGGGAACGTTTATAGACAAAGGCCAGGAAAAAGACACAAGTGATCCCGAGCCCTATTTTGACCCACTTCATCATTCTTGCTTTTTCTCGGATAGATGAGGCTTAACAAAAAGAAAGTGTCAGTGATTCATTGATTGTCGCTGGAAGACAAATAAAAGAAGACAGGATTTCAAATTGTGTTATTACTTTGGATTATTTCCAGGGTGGATAAAAAAAATCAGATTTTTAAATTTGAACTGGATTTTGTCAATTTAAAAATAGAATACAAAGAGTTACAATAACATCTCAGCAATTTGCTTTGGTTAAGACTCTTCTGTCAAATACAACAAGACAGGATTTCAAATGGTGTTATTGCTCTGGATTATTTCTGGTGTAGATTAAAAATCAGATTTTCAAATGTATATTGGATTTTTTCATTTAAAAACATTCTCAATAAAATACTAAATTTTGTATTTCAAAGTAACAGTTACAAACACATCTCATCACAAACATGCTGCACATACACTTACAACCTCATGAAACATGAATGACTGGTGTTATTCTGCCCAGCTTAACTATCAGCTCTTGGTTCTTGCGAGGTCTCGGCTTGCAATTTCTGTTTCTCAGCAGACTGCAGTAACATGTGTAAACACATGCAGCTTGGGTCGGATTGTTTTGTTCTGTGCTTACATGCTGGCTGATTTTGGCTAAGCAGGGCAGAGGAGTTAGTTAGTTAAGACACTGTCTTACCAACAGAGAGACAAATATAGAAAAAAGGGCTGAGGCAGCATAGAAAGGAATCGTGGAGTGGACAGAAAAGAAAAAGAGAAAACTTTCCTCCCCAACATCCAGGCAGCCTGTGGAGTTCATTGCCGGGGACGTGCACAGGCAAGAGGCAGAGCTGGGCTCACAAAAGAATTAGGTCGGTTCCGGGCGGGCAGGTTCCTCACTGGCTGTTGGCCAGGAGGGCCCGGAGGGGAGCCCCGTGCTCGGAGGCGCAGGGACACGCGGGCTGCCCTTGTTCTGCTCCTGCCTTCCGACGCACCTGGCACCACCAAGGCGGGGTCCCAGGACGCTCCACTCACCTCTTGTCTGGCGCCTCCCACCGCTCAGCCTGGGGGTTAGCGCGTCAGGCCCCCCTCTCCTCCACGGTTTGTTCACTGCCGCTCCCTCTCTCCTGTCCTCTCTCTCACTCTGCCCTGCAGCCCCTCGCCCACTGTGGGAACCAAATCTCCTCTGTTCTGTGCCCGACAGCCCGGTCCCGCAGCACTTCTCCTGCGAGGGTGTGGCTCGTCCAATCTCTCCCTCCCACAGTGACCCAAGGGCTCTGCTCATTCGCTGCCCTGCTGGGGCCGCTTCCCCAAGGCTGGGTGGGGCAATCATCAACCGAGCAGCTCTGTTCTTTCCTCCCCCCGCCCTACCTGCCTGCCCTGCCTGGCTTCCTACAGCTCCTAGGTCTGCTTCAATCCGCTCCAGACACTCCTCCCTCTATGCAGGGTGTGACCGCCGTTTCTGAGTGGCAGTCTCTACGGGGCAAATTTCCAGCTTCCCTGAGCCTGTTAGCACTCAGTTTACTGCTCCCTGGCTCTTCCTCCAGGTGCTGGCTATGGGCTCAGTCCTATCCCCCTCCAGCCTGTGTCGCTGGACGCCCTGTCACAGACACCCCAACTCCAGATGGCTAACTGTAGGAGGGGGCAGGTATCGTCTTCACTGCCTCTGACATAGCTAGGCCCAGAGACCCTCCCTCTTCTGCCCAGCGTCACCCACCCCCATTGCATGCCATCTCTTCATTTCTTCCCCCAGGATTCCAAGTCATGCTGAGCCTTCAGAAAGTCCCCATCTCTAGCTAGTGCCCTGGCTCTCCTTTCAGGGGCAGGCTGTGCAGGTAACAGGCCTACCTGGCTACCAGTCCTGCGTGGGGAGACCCCCCATGACAGTCGGAAGACAGGGCTGTGAGCTACACGGTCTGACCTAGAATGTCTGTTGTTATGTTCTTAAACTTCATCAGAATTCTCTGGAGAGGTCCCTGCAAGCTCTGGCCTATGGGTAGAAATTCAGCCTCTGCCAGATTATTTATTTCAAAGTACACTTAGTGAACAAAGAATACTGAAATGAAATTTGCAGTCCAGGAAACATCTCGTTCTCTGTCCTGGGATTTTTTAAAACCTTCTTTAATACTAACTTTGAAGTAAAATGTTTCCTTTCGATGCCATCTGGTGATCAATGCTCTAGACTTTGGCCTCTCGTTAAGCTGTATTTTGAGCTGATGACTTTGATTCAAACTGGCATCATGTTAACCTGAGAGCTTGAACAGCAATAGACTGTAGTGCGCAGGAAGCCACATTTCCCCCCTCCGCACTCCCCTGCCCTCTGGCAAAGATTCACAGAGTTTCAAGGTTTGAGTTTTATAATTCTTCCATAAAAAGGCTCTAATATGCCCATCATAACTACCTGCTCTTCTTCTTGAGAGTTCCCGCCTTACAATTTCCGTTTCTCAGCAGTCTGCGGGAACACAAGCAAAGACACACAGATTGGGCAGATTCACTTGGCAATGGACCCTCTCTGTGCTGTTTCGTATAAATGTGATTTGACGAGTAAATTCCCAAGCTGTTTACTGTGTTGAGAGGGAAAAAGTTTTAGCTTCTCAAATCCTTATGGCTTGTTCAATTAGTGAAGTAGGTTTAGAATCTCTCCCCCAACTACACAATGCAGAAAGCTTCAGTAACAGAAATCTCCAGTTGCCACCGTTTGTTGTTCTCCTATGTTATAACACATAAGACAGGCCCCTATTTAGGAACATGATGGCCACAGACCACAATGGTGATGCCATGAGTCAATTCCCTGTTTTACTTCTGCAGAACTCAGTTCTCCAAAGGGAACCCCATTCTGTACTTGTTTTCTCAAGAAAGAGAAGAGCCAGTGAATTCAAGAGTCTTACTCCAAAAATAAGTGACAGGGGGTTAGCTGGATTAGGCTGTATTTACAAAAGTAAGGAGGAGTCCTGCGGCAATTTACACTGTATCTACACAGCAGGATTATTTCAGAATAGCTGACGTTCTGAAATAATTTAGTTTGTGTCTACACAGCAAACAGTTATTTTGACTTAATGTTGAAATAATGTTGAGCTGGAGGACATCTTACTCCGACACCTGTAACCCTCACTTTACAAGGAGTAAGGGAAGTTGGAGGAAGAGTGTTCTAACTCGGACTTCCTGCGGTGTAGACAGTGCCAAAATCCGAAATAAGCTATTGCAACTTAAGCTACGCAATTGATATCACTCAAGTTGCATGGCTGATTCTGACTTTAGCCTTGCTGTGTAGATGTGTCCCTAGAGACCAACAGACTTCATAGGGCACAAGCTTCCATGGAAAAAATCCACTTCATCAGATGAATTGGAGTGAAAAATACAGAGGTGGAACAACAAAAGAGAGAAGTTACTTGGGTTAATCAAATCAGGATGGAAGTGACTCATTCACAGCAGTTGATGTGGAGATGAAACTATCAAAAGAGGGGGAAATTGCCTTTGTAGTGCATTAACCAGTCAAAATACTCATTTAGGCTTGTTGATGGTGTTGAATTTGCAACACAGCTTAAATTTAAAAAACAACACATGGTGTGGAAGCACCTTAAAGATTAACAAAACATGTAAATGATATCATCAGCTTTCATGGGCACAACTCACTTCTTCAGATGACCGGAGTTTTGAATTTAGGATGTGTAGACCCAAAATAAATAGGGGAGAGGGGAGTGGTGGAAAAAAAGATAAGCTGCTTTTTACAATCCATAGATTGCAAGTTCTGCCTACTTGTTTTTCCCTTTGATATTTTTATACCCCTCTGCTTCTTGTTTCCTGCTCCCTTCCTTTTTTCTACTTCCTCCTTCTCCCCTATTTATTTTGCTGAGAGGGTCAAATGAGGGTGAATGCTAGAAACAGGGCTACTTACAGCCCCAAAGCAGGGGACCTCTATTAAAACTCACACTGAACCAGTCACAAAGAGCACTTCTGTTTGCCGTACTGGCAGCAGGAAGTCCTATGAGAATCCTCTGAGATACTCCAGCTTTTCCTGTGTCACAACCAACAGCGCACCCGACACGGATAAGAGGTTATGAAAACTAATCGCACCAACCTTGAATAGGTTCTTCCAATCCTAAAGGACCAGTCCCGTTCCCAGGTCAATTTATACCTCAGATCTTATCCAGGAGAGCACACTGGGTCAGTTCTTTGCAATCTAACAGACAGACAGACAGACAGATAGATAGATTAAGGTTCATTGCCAATCAAGTACTTTGATTCATTTGACTAGCCCCCGTTACAATAGGCGGGTGAAGCCTGTTGATATCTCTCTGAAACAAAATACTTGGAATGTCAGAACATGGTCAATATTTATCACTCTAAATACAAGACTCTGACATGCACATGAATAGTAGAAACACAATATGATAAGTCATAATATCACTGAATTCTGTGACAAATCCAAGGCAATAATTGCTTTGAACAACATTGGATTTGATCTACTTTTGCAGCATGATTTCTATACCTCTTAGGTGAGTCGGCCAAGAGCTAAAGAAAATAGTTAGTTTATCCCTACAAGCTCTGGCCGATGTCTGGAACCAAATAAACACCACGTTAATGTAGATATTGGTGTTCTCCGTAGTGTAAGATTCTTGGTATTTAGCCATGAAAGCAAGATGGCGGTGTGCCTCAGTTTCTCTGCTCATGTAGCACATTACGTGTGGAATAGGGTTGCCTGGTGTCTGGTTTTGAAGTGGACAGGATTCACTTGTGCTCCTCTGAGACCGTGCGCAGGACGGGCAGCACCACGGGGTCTGCATGCGCCCGGGTCAGCCCCGCTTCCTGCTGGCCAGTTCCTCCCCGCTCCATTCGTCCCCCGGCGGTGTGCCTCAGTTTCTCTGCTCATGTAGCACATTACGTGTGGAATAGGGTTGCCTGGTGTCTGGTTTTGAAGTGGACAGGATTCACTTGTGCTCCTCTGAGACCGTGCGCAGGACGGGCAGCACCACGGGGTCTGCATGCGCCCGGGTCAGCCCCGCTTCCTGCTGGCCAGTTCCTCCCCGCTCCATTCGTCCCCCGCCCCTTTCTGGCCAGCCACGCTTCCCAGCAGCCAATTCTCTACTTCCCAGTCTGCCTCGCTCCCTCTGACCTCCTCCTGGCCAGCCCCACTCCCCCCCATGCCCTCCTGGCTAGCCCTGCTTCCCACCAGATGGTTCTCCTCCTTCCCCATTCTCCCCCAGTGAGCCCCGCTTTCCCTTGACCTCCTCCTGGCTAGCACCACTCCCCTCCCGCCTGGTCTCCCTCCCCCACATCTGAGATCAAGTGTATCTGGTATTTATTTTGAAGCCATCTGGTAGTCCTAGTGTGGAATGCTCTCTCTCTCACGTGAGACGTTCCAACACAAATTACAGGCACCGACAACTGGGAAATATAAGTATTAGTAGGTCTTTTACCGTATAGTGTGACATTATGTACCACACTGAACATGTTCTGGGGATTTCCTAAAAGATCATGCGCATTCGGCAGGTTTACAGTTCTGGGTAGCAGCAGCACATTGGTTACAAAAGTGGACACCAGCAACAAGAACAAAGCCATTGCAAGCGCACATGTACCGTTCTTTTTTTCATCCTTGGCTCAATACCTTTCGAGGGCTGCAATTTAGAGTTAACCCGTGAGACAGCTGCATTATCCACAGCTACGGCAAGCTCAGAGGCCCCTTCCCCACCCAAAGCACTGGACAAAAACTCTGCCTTCCACGCAAACAAACCCTTAGACCACCCTGGCTGGTTCAAGCTAGTCTCCACACACTGGGACTGATTCCATGGAACTATTTGCAACAAATGGAGTTCTTCCTGAGCAGGTTTCTCTTCCACAAGCTTTACTAGGTCTCCGTCCAGCAGCGCCACAAACTTGATCATATCCTCAGTCACGGTTTCAGCCAGACAGGAATCTGCTGCACAGAAACATCGTCCTGATCTCTGAGTGCCTCCTGTCCTTGAATGAATTCCAGCCTCGCCTGTGAGCCTGAGACAGGCCTTCAGCAACCTCCTGCCAGACACACAGCTCTCTCCCTCAGGCAGACACTGAGAGAAACTCTCCCCTGGGTCACAGTAAAACTGGCTAGACACAGACAACTGCCCGGAGTCAATTCTTCTCCCGCCCCTTCTTCTCATATCTCCCTGGTAGTCACAGGGGACAGCAGAGTTGCATTCAGACTCCTTTGGGGCTGGTCTATGACATCAGCCGGATTGCACATTTCTGCCATGTCATCATCAAAGGACAGAATAACACAGTGACACACGACTCCCAAGCGGATACCGTCTCTGCCGTTCAGTCTGGCAACTCCCTCCTCAGCTTCGCTGAGTCTCTCCTCTGCTGCTGGTCGCTCCATTCACCATGTCTGGACTTCTTTCTCTCTTTCAGCAGCTCCTCTCTCCAGCTCAGGGCTCCTTTGCTTCTCCCTTACATGAATCTCAGCAAATATTTCTTCCTAATCGAGCTCCACTTTGATTAATTCTGCAGCATCTCTGTCCATTAGCAAAGATTGCAGTTCGTACTTAGTGGCTTTCTTTCTGGAGGTGATTCCTTTCGCTGAGCATGGGTCTCTCAGGTCTTTTATTTTAAGATCCTCATTTCATTGCTGACTCATGGCAACTGCTCTTTGGTTAAGCTGATAAGAAGTGGGGGAGGGGGTAGGTATCTTTATAGGGGCAAAAGGCAATATGCCCTGTTTATTGAGAATACCATGGCAAAGCAGTTAGCATATGCCTACACACACACAAACATACAGACACACACACGCACACTGTACCACCAGTTGATGATATATTTACCAGTCCGTGGTCCATGGTCAACCGGATTGATCATGTATAAAAAAGAGCGGGGGCTCTGGCAGTCCAGACCGATGCTCCCATCTTTGACAGGACGTACCCCAAAGTTTCATGCCAAAGTTGTCCCTTTTCATAGTCGTTTTACTTCGCTGGGATCGGTAAGTTTACATCATGCTGTAATTAACTGCGCTTTGAAGAGTGCTTGTTTGCTTAAGCTGTTCTTCTCATATCACAGTTATCATGTCCCAATGGATAGGTGCTTGCCTCATCTTTATCTGCCCATCATCCGCAGTTCGGTGGGGAGATACAGCAATCTCCTGGCGCTTTTACATCTGTCCTCCGCTTCTTCCTAGAGTATCTGGCCTTCACCCTTATCTCTTAACACACATGCCTCATTCACACACACAAACCAGAATTGATTTCTTTGGTACATAGACCCAATATGAATATTTAAGCAGCAATATCTACTTACAATGAAAAAAAACCCAGTCATCGAAAAACATAAAAAAATTATCAGACTCTATCTCTGCCTTGGAATCAGCTTTAGACACAATATTCTGGCTGGTGCAGCTTTACCAGAAGGTAAAGGTCCTTTCTGCTCTCAGAAAGGGTGGCTGGCAGAGTTCACATGACTTTGCATAAAGCTACACTTTAGCTACGTGGCTACACTTTAACCAACCAAACTCTCAATCCCAAAGTCCAAATTTAGAAGCATGTGGGGGTCCTGATCCAAAGCTTCACTGGCCTGGTTCTGTGGATCCAAGCGTGACTATAACAGATTCTGGGGGCACCGCTGAGAGGGAAGTGTTTAGGACCAGGGCTGCTTATAACCCACGAGGGGGGACTTCCACTGTAGGACCCCGAACCTGTCACAAAGAGCACTTCTGTTTGCCGCACTGGCCAGCAAGAAGTCACATGAGCAATCCCCTGAGACACTCCAGCTTTCCCTGTGTCACAGCCAGCACCGCACCACACTCGGATGAGAGGTTATGAAAACCAGTCCCACCAACTCTGAACAGGTTCTTCCAATCCCAAAGGAGCAGCCCCATTTCCAGGTCAACTTTTACCTTAGATCTTATCCAAAAGCGCAGGCTGGCCCAATCCTTTAGTATCTAACATCGAAAGGTTTATTAATGAAAGGAAGAAAGAAAAGGCTGAGAGTAAAATTTATAGAAATCAAGTTACATACGTCAATTGCAAAGTTCCTGGTGCAGGCTTATAGCCGAGGTGGAAAGTCTGCTGTCTCATAAGTCTCTGGAATATATCCTGTGCTAGAAGGGGGCATTAGTCCTTCCGGGCCCAATTCATGGCAAAACTGCTTCTGACATGATGAGGTGGAGTGAAGACAAATGGAGGAAACTCTGGGGCCCTTTTTATACGCTTGCCCAAGTGGAGAGAATTCCACTGTCCTCCTTGTGTGAAGGTAACTCCCAAAATGCAGTTTGTCACATGACTAAGTCACCTGTCCGGGTCCTTTTTTGGCCATCAGCCATGGCGTACATGCTTGACTGCAGGTTTACAGGAAAATTCTTCAGATGTGTATTGGCAACACTATCAGGTCATTGTTCGTCAAGTACTTTGATTCACTAGGCTAGCCACCCTGTTACAATAGGCGGGTGAAGCCGGTCAATCCCTCTCAGGAGAAAATACTTGGAATGTCAGAACATTGTCAATGCTTATCACTCTAAATGAAACAATCAGACATGCGCACGGATAGTATAAAGAGAATCAGGAAAACATTGGCTTCCAATAGAATCCTCACATACCACTTTGCACAGAATTCGGGGCTAACATGCAACAGTGGGCGCAACCATTTTCTGCATGGACACATCAGAAATCCAGTAAGGTCACACGAACCCTGCTTTGTACCCCATTGCCACCTCTGGCCACATAGCTACAAAAGAAACACAATCACAGGGCTAACCACATAAGCCACAGTATTACAGGCTCACCCACCTGCACATCCTCTCATGTGCTGTCTTCCATCCTGTCCCGATAATGCCCCTCTGGCTTGGATATTGGCCAAACCAGACAGTCTCTGCACCAAAGGATAACTGGACCCAGATCAGAAAACCCACCCCAACACTCTACAGAGCCCCTTATCCTGCATTCCCCCTGCTAGGGCTGACTCTAGTTCTGTCAGTCTTCTCCTGAGGTCCGGCACGGGCGGGGGGTGAGGGAGAGGAGGAAGGGAAAGTTTGGAACTAGAACCAACACCCAGTGCTCACCAGGTGAATGCCCTAGCCACTAAGTGATCTACCTCTATGGTGTAAAATCTATAGGGGAGCATTTTAACCAGCCTGGACAGTCAGTTATGGATTTGAAAGCAGCCTCTTTCTGCAAAAGAATTTTATAATCATATGACAAAGGGAGACAGCTGCATTCAAATTCCTTTGCAAATTCAATACTAGCCACTTAGGACTGAGTAAAGATTGTAACTGGTTAGCGCACTACAAAGACTGTTTCCCCTCTCTTGATATCCACATCTCCACATCAACTGCTGTGAATGAACCTCTCCCACCCTGAGATGATTAGCTTCATTAACACAAGTCACTTCTTTCTTTTGTTGTCCTTATGTATCCCCCTCCCTCTGTAACTTCCACTCCAGTTCACCTGATGAAGTGGGTTTTCCCTCATGAAAGCTTATGCCCAAATAAAGCTGTCTCTCAGGTGCCACGGGACTCATTAGTGTACCAAAATTAAGTGCACTTTAAGCACAGTCAGTCAGAGCTGATTTTTTGGGTAACTTGATTTAAATCAATGATTTTTTTGGTGATTTAAATCCTTGATTGAAATCAATACACCCTGATTATTTGTTAGTCAATTGACCACACATTGGAAAACCGGGGAATCAAGAGTTAAACCAAATCACAAAACTGAGTTGGCATTAATCTCTCTGAGTGGCAGAAGTTTAAGAAAAGGCTTGTCAACTATACGTTGGTTGAAGCCTTGGAGTTTCCAGTCCTGAAACCAGAAGTGTTTTCTGTTCAACATAATGGCAATGAAAAGGACCGCAAATCATAACAGGGAGGAAAAACTGCCTGGAGAAACTGGAACAGCAGGCTGCGTGCAAGCAAAAGACTCTACTGAGCTAAGGTGCTGTGTGTTTGGAAAAGAGCAGGGGAAAGCCCTAGAAAAAAGAACAACTGGCTGTCTTGTCTGGTGAGCTCCATATGAGGGAGCCAAAGAGCCAACAGTCACTCACACCTTTCAGGAAGTGGTTCATATATTTTTCTGTATAGATTCTCACTGCAGGGCATTGGTAAAATTAGAATGAACACCATCTACTTGTGGGAGCAGATTTATTATCCAGTCTGTGCCGAAGAGTCCACTTGTGTTATCTTGAGGATAAGGCTGTAAGAGAGAAAGCGAGACCTGCCTGGACTCCATTCCAGTGTCTGGCAGGAAGGCAACTGTGTGGCAGTTGTGGATTTGAGGTGTCTGAACGGGAAAAGCTTCAGTAATTAACTATCATATTCACTAATCCTGTGGATAAACTGAGTACATTGCACTTCTACCGCAAGGAGATACACCTGCATTGGTTGATCTGGAAATGTGTCTTATTAATGAATTAATCAGATCAGAATACAAAGAACCAAGTACTGCACATTGATTATCAGAGACAGGATACAACAAGCTGGGGAGGAGTGGATTTTTCACCTTCAGTCCATTTGGTATAATGTCCATCCGTTTGCATTTGGAGAGAAAGATGATATCTGTTTGTACTTGTGCAAGTTTCTTCATGAGGTTGATAGATTTCCACTCCATACGGCTAAATGCAGTGCCTTGCATGGTGTCAAGTATCAGACGACTACCCCTCTGATACTTAGATTTTCAGAAAGCCTCTGACAAGATCCCTCACCAAAGTCTCTTAAGCACAGTGAGCTGTCATGGGATAAAAGGGAAGGACTTCTCGTGGATTGGTACCGGGTCAAAAGATAGGAAACAAACGGTAGGAATAAACGGTCTCTTTTTAAAGCGGGGAGAAGAAAATATCAGGATCCACCTGAAGAACCGGTCCTGAGACCCATGCTGTTCAACATATTTATAAGAGACCTGAAAGAACATGGCACATTGTGATGTGCCACAGTTTTCAGATAATAGAAAACTAATCAAAACATTGAGTCCAAAGCTGACCAAGAAATGCTTCCTGTTCCCTGGCTCACCTTTCAGGTACAGGCTGTGCAGTTAATAGGTTTGCCTGGCCCACATGGGTAGACACCCCATGGTATGGGAAGACAGTGATGTGTTGTGACTAAGAATGGCTGTTCTTATGTTCTTAAATTACATCAGAGTTCTCCTGGGAACGCCCTGGAAGCTCTGGCCTAGTGGTAGAAATTCTGCCAGATTATTTATATTTCAAAATACTTTTGGTGAACCAAAAGCATTGAAATGAAATTGAATTTCAAATGTTGATTTTAACCTGA